ACAACTCATAGCTCTGCACGGAGTCCAAAGAGGCGCGCCGTATACTAGGAAGGAAGCCCTCGTCTTCCTCTCCCAGCCCCTCTTTCGATGCGGGTTCATCTCGTGGAGTAATCGTGCGAAGTTCGAAAGAGTTCGGCTCGTGTATCATGGACAGGCCATCAGAGGAATGTGAGGAGCGTGGAGAGGGCGTGAACTTGGGAGAGCTTTCGTCGGCGCTGTTGGATGCTGGTGCGTGCTGAGTGCGGCGGGAGGAGGATGGCATGCTTAGGTTCGTCTGTCTGGAATGAGCCGCATTGGGGACTAAGAGATTACATCGAGAATAGGGGTAATTAGTCAAGGCACGAGCTCGTCACCGCTGACAAGTCGCGTAGTTCAAAGTGTCAAAGCTGTCTCCATCGTGAGATGACGCGTAGAAGCCCGTGCGCTGCATACCCCACAATCCAGGATACCGGGTACTGCTTTGTCGTCATGTCCTTCTGCCTTCACTTGATCACTTTGCAAACTAGACTCGACATTTTGAAGACGAATTTTCAACTTTTCTTTCGTTACTTTTATTGGTAGCCGTGATGTGAAACTCTTGCGCACTACCGACATCCCAGAATCGATCTCAGAGTACATAATGGTTGCAGAACCACTCATTCCAGGTGACTCAAATCGGTCTCGTTATGGATAACGATGCGTCCGTCCGGCAATTTCTTTACTTTGTAGTATCCCAGCTTTACCGCCTCCATTGTATCGATCCCCTCAATCTTCATGCCCAGCGCACGCAAAGGCGATCTCAGAGACGGGCCCCCATACCGGCGCCACTCGTTTACCTCCTTGGGAATGCCTGCCTCAGGAAGGTCATCCCAGTGATACATCTCTTTTGCGACTTCGATGCATGCGTCTCTTTTGTCTGCACTCCACCATGCAGGAAGGATCCCCGCAGTCTTCTCGCTATTGGCGATGTGCTTAAGTAGTCCTTGGAAGAGGTAGCCGGTGTTGTACTTGACGGTGGCGTCCATATACGAGTCGCGTGGGTCTATCATAGCCCCGAGGCTGCAACGTTTTGTCTCATCCCAAGCGCGGAAGCTCTCGATGAGGAGTTTGTAGGTTGTCGGCTCGTCTTTGTTCAGTAGAATCTTGTCAGAAGCGGAAGCTTTCTGCTCGTGAATTCTCATAGGCTCATCTTGTTTAATAAGTCCGGGCATAACCCCATCATATGCTTCCACGGACGTAATACTGAGGTGAGTGTTGTGCGGGTAGATGCGTGCAGGCATATGTTGTTCAGGCCAGTTCTCATCCTTGTGGTTACGAGGTTTGTTGCACCGGTGCTTGTGGACATCTTTCCAATGCGCCTTCTGGCAAGATAGAGAGCAGTAACGGAGCACCTTGCAGCCGCCGCAGCGCTTGAGAGGATTGGCGGGTTCTTCGATAACATTGCAGTTCGAGCATCGGAAAGGACCTGCTGAAGGTCAGTAAAGTGACATGAGCAGGGAAGAGGGCGACTCACCTTGGATTGCCATGCTGTTGCGTCGTGACTGGGTCTTTCTGTCTGAATGGGTCGTGCGAGCAGAGATGGGGAGTGAGGGAGCCTTGGTCGAGGGCGAAGACGGAGGAGGTGAGAGCATGTCTCTACCCGTAAGCTAATACAAATCGAGCAGATAACGTCTCGATGTAGCAAACACGCCTGCCGGTGACACAATCTCTGCCTCTTCACTGATAGAATGCTTAGGTGACCCACTATAACAGTGAGGCTAGGACGGGAAGGCGCGCTCTGACTTTTCGTTGCATGTGGTACAAATCGGCAAGGTCAGGATCAGACAAGCGTTACAAGGAACATACAATTACCGTTCGTAGATTGCGCCGATGGAAGTTTGACCTTGACCTGTCCTATGACAAGTAGCTCACGCCTTGCGGGGGATGCAGCGGCCTGTGCCCAACCAACTACCATTTTGAGTGAGTTAGGGAGTCACCAAATAACTGCAAGTGAGACAAAATTATAGTGGTCGCGAAAGAAGTGCATTCGCCGATCGACACGGGTGGCAGTACTGGCCTGTCGGTCCATATCTGTCTATTTGGGCAATTGCCAGTCCTTGTAGCTCCACTTCTCCGATACGTGGTACTTCTTCTGCTTGGCGTATGGGATCTGCCTTCTGGCTTCGACTTTGCCCTGGAGCATGAAAGTCCTGAAGCGGTCTTTGAGCAGATTGCCCTCTGGCTTGAGAAGACGCAGAGAGTCGCGGAGCTCGTCTGGTAGAACGACTTCGAGCGGGGCCTCTGGTAGACTGTAATCGATTAGGAGTTGTTCGATGTGTGACACGTGGATAGGTACTTACGGTGCCTTGCCGAATTGCTTCTTCCTCAGCTCCAATTCTTCGCCATCGTCCTCCTCATCCGCGAGCTCTGCATTCCTCTGTTCAAGAGCTTGTTTCACAGCGGCTCTCGCCTTCTCCTTTTCTTCTACGCTCTTGGCTAATCTCTTGATCTCCTGGACCTGTTGCTCCTTGGCCTTCATCTTTGCTTCGTGGACCGCTTTTCTTTGCGCGTCCTTTCTCCTCTTGATCTTGTTCCGTTGTGACAGCGACTTCCTCTCTGGCCTCTTCTTCTTGGCTTGCTTATCTTCATTGTCACTGAAACCTTCCCATTCGCTCTCCCACACGCTCTCCTCGCCTGAGTCAGATTCTGTCTCAGCAGCTGCTCTCTCCATGAGCTCGGCCTCTTCGCGGGCCTCTTGCAGGCGCTTCTTCTCAACCTCGACGATCTTGTCGGATTCGCGCATGAGCTCGTTTTGCCAGTCTTCCAGCAGGGGATTGTACGACTTTCCACCGGTAGGTTTGCGGACTGAGGGAATGGCCTTGCCGGTCTTTGCCTGCGAGATGGGTGCGTGCTTCAGGGTTTTCGGCTCGACCTTGGGCTTCTTCTTCTCAAGGTATGAGAAACGAGGATCCTCCTTGACCTCTTGAACTGCCCATGGGTCGTAAGCGGCGTCGCCGGTCTGTACGACGTCCTTCTTGGTCTGCTCGCCTCCGTATGCAATCGCCCTCAGCCTGTCGTATTCTTTGCCTGATACCTTTGCCTTCTTCCTCTTGCCATCGTCGGTGATTTCCGAGAGTCGCTTCCGGGTGGATACGGCGGGAACGGCAGAGCGCTTAGCGAGGATCTCGTCGACCTTTAGAGGCTTGTGTCGTTTCGCGACCTCTTTCTGGATCTCAGCCGATCCAAGGACGTCGACGGCGAAAAGCTCGTCTGCGGTCTTCTCAGAGATTACACCACTGTAGCGGCGTTAGTATATGCATCGTCTGTGTGTTGTATATGGTACACACCCTTGAATGATCTGATCGCGCACATCTTCTAGGCCGGATTGAATCTCTGTGACATCGACATTCTTGCGCCAAGCCTTCTTGCCTTTGCGACTCGACTGTTTGTATTGCGCGGGCGCTGCTTCGGTGTCCGCCATGGTGTCTTACGGTTGCCGTGCTCGAAGTAGTTGTGGGGTTGTTCGTTGTCGCAAAAAGTTCGACCCAAAATTCCGACCAGCAAAGCGGCGCACGGGCTGGACCCACCGGGACCCCTGCTGCACTCGGTAGTCGGTGTTGGCCGCCAGGGTGCCAGGCCTCCAGATTCGACCGACACTCCTATTCAGACACGACACCCCACCAAGACACACGGCCGGGATATTGCTTCTGGTCCTCTGCGATAACACATTTCGAGACTTCCGATATTCACAAAATCTACAACCTCCAGTCACAATGGCGCAGTCGGGCTACTCAAACCCGCTCAAGAAGTTCAAGTGAGCTGTCCTCCGCGGCGGAGACCAACTTCGTATACTAACCGGCTGCAGGCTCGTATTCCTGGGCGAACAAAGTGGTATGCATACTATCGCAGATATAGCGGTTTGCGACACACGTGCTAATCTACCTTCGCAGTGGGAAAGACGTCTCTAATTACCCGCTTCATGTACGACTCGTTCGACAACACCTACCAAGCCACCATCGGCATCGACTTTCTAAGCAAGGTATGCTTGCTGCAAAGCCGCCATAGATACGGCAATCCAGTTCGACATCTAATCTTCTACGCAGACCATGTACCTCGAAGATCGGACTGTCCGCCTGCAGCTCTGGGATACCGCCGGCCAGGAACGATTCCGCTCCCTGATTCCCTCCTACATCCGCGATTCTAGCGTAGCCGTGGTTGTATACGACATCACAAACAAGAAGACGTTTGAAAACACAAGAAAATGGGTAGACGATGTCAGAGGCGAGCGCGGCAACGATGTCATTATTGTGCTCGTGGGCAACAAGACCGACTTGAACGACAAGCGCGAGGTTACAACGGCGCAGGGTGAAGAAGAAGCCAAGAAGAACAACTTGATGTTCATCGAGACGAGCGCGAAGGTCGGACACAACGTAAAGGCGCTGTTCAAGAGAATTGCGCAGGCGTTACCGGGCATGGAGGGCGAGGGCCAGCAAGGGCAGAGTCAGAGTACGTCTCGACGTACACATTGTTGCGGTGAATGCTATGCTAATCCAAGATGCAGTGATCGACGTGAACATCAACCCCAGCCAGCCACCGCAAGAAAACTCGTGCTCATGTTAAACAAGACATAGCCGTTTGGCAATCAACTTCGGTTCATTCGCTTAAGGGCGTACTGTAATTATTTGGGATGATGTTTTGCAAGTCTGAGAAAGTCATTGTCAGCAAGGCGTTCGGGCATGGGCCGCATGCATCTTAACGTCGGAAACGTAATCTGTAGTATACCAGTGCGTACCCACGCGTACCACTGCATGACGTCAATGGAGAGATGCCGAGTGCTGTTTGGATTGTATGCATTGGAAGCCCGCATCTATCCCAACGCCGCCCCAGCCAGATGAATCATGCTCAACCAGAACGCCGGCCGTGGAATTGACCGACTGCGCCGATGCTGATCCATATACAAGAATATTACAGGGGCCGTTATCAGGTGGAGCGGGGTCCAAGAATGCTTGCTGAATTTATCGAAGTACTATCGTCGCAGTGTTTTACTCGAGGTCGCCTGCCGAGCCAGCCTCAGACGGCGTCTTGCTGCCGCCGACGGGGATTGACGTGTCAACTGCGATCATCTCGGCGAGAATGTCGAGGACGGGCTATCGGGTGTTAGCGGGCCGTCGCCAATTCATGGCGAAGAGCAGCAACGTACCTTGGGAACGGTCTTGTCGTAGATGTTGATCAATTCCCGCGGGTTGGGGTAGACCTTCAATGCGCGGTAGAAGCATAGCGCCGCCTCGACGTTGTCCGCACCTGGCAGACAATTAGCACCACGTCCCACCAAGAGGGTCAAACATAACCATACCCTTCTGCACCATTCCTTCTCCCTGCGCAACCTCTTGCATAAAGTACGCCTCCACCTCCTCGGGGTCCTTGGGGAAGCCCTCCTCGTTTGCCCGCTCTACCGCCTCTCGGATCGCCTTCTTCTGCTCGGCGCCCTGTGCCTCGGCCTCCTCCTTGGCCGCCCGCTCTGTTCGCTTCGACTCCTTCTTGAGCTGCTTGCGGAAGCCGGGGTCATTTCGTCGCTTGTAGTCGAAGTAGGCGGCGTATGCGAGAAGGCCTGTGACGATGGTGCCGGCGCTAATGGCCGCAATGGTCGATGGTTTTAACGACGAGTTGGACATGGTGGTGGTGCGATTCGTGCGAGTGAAAAGCGCAATCAGGCGGGGAAGGAGCAGCTGGAGCCCTTTGAATTGGCGGCAGGTGATGGCGGTGATGTGGTGTGGTGTTTAACTTTTTCTCAGTGTTCAGGGAAGGCACGATTCACCAAAGTGGGCCCAAGCTCACACTCGAGACCGCGGCTCCACGCATGACGGGGCTCTACGAGTACCTGTCAACATCCACGGACGCGCACTCATGGCGCAGCTGCCCTCGCTACCACTGACCACAACTCCACTCCCGCCCCATACGACGCAGGAATTGGACAAGTGCTAGAGGTAAATCACCTAGAAGCCTACATTCGGTTGGGGTTTGGTTAGCTTTCGTTCTCATGCTAATGTAGACTGCAGGGCACCTGTTCCGTTTCATCCTTGTATAAAGCGCTGCGCTCCTACACCACGTTAATCGGGGAATCTTGCAGGCAAGATGTCAGAGAAACAGAAGGGCATCTCCCTCCGCAAGAAGCGGGGGGACAAGAGCAAGAAGAACGCGCCGCCGCCCACCATCAGCGCGCCGCGACAGATTAGTGCGCCCATGCCCGCAGGCGTCGCTGCTGCTGCTGCCGCTTCACTCCCAAGCTCCGGGCGCCCTTCGAACGAATCCAGCCGATCGAGGACCAGACAGGATGGCCCTCCATCACAGCCAAGACCGCAGCGGCCAGATAAGACGGCGGATCTCGTCAAGAGGAGGTACTCCCAGAAGATCACGACGCTGCCTAGCGACTTCGGGAATGGCGAGCCTATGCCGCAGATGCCACAAATGCCTGTTCAGTACAGAGAGAAGAGCCAGACGAGAGAGGGACGGCCGCCCGGAAGCTCCAATGGACGGGTCCTGCAAGTCGACCCGCGCGCATTGCGGGACCCCAACTTGGAAGTGGAGCGATGTAAGGCCAACATGTGGCGATGTGACTGCTTGCATGCTGACTCGCACAGATGTATCAACTATCCTCGCAGACGCCTCTGAAGCAGACATCAGCCGCTACCAGGACGAGCTGCGCAAGACGAAGCATCGTACATCGCTCGACCTCCAGCACAACGTATACCAAAACCGCACACAGTTTATCAAGATCAGTAAAGAAGCAGAGAAGCTCAAGGGCGAAATGCGGACGCTTCGTCAGTTGATGTCTGACCTGACAACTACCTTGGAGCAGACAGCATCAGCTACGGGTGCCGCCAATGACACCGCGAGCTCGCGAAGAGCTAACCGAAGTTCGATCGGAGATCTCAATCAACTGCGCGCAGGCCAGCTACAGCAGCTTTACAGGGACGTTGAAGGCTCGCAAAAGTATCTACCCCCAATACCCGGACGATATATCGTGTGGAAGTCAACGAGATGGTTCGAACTGGACTCTGCAACCCTCAAGGCAAGACGAAGAGTGAGACTACTACTACTTAATGATCATCTCCTTATCGCATCAGAGAAAAAGGCACGCAACGATGTTCCCGGACAGCGTGACGGCAACAGAGCGAATATGGAGTTCACTGCCCAGCGATGTTTTCCCCTACAAGATACGCAGGTGATTAGGACGCCGGAAGAGCGCATCATCATACGCGCTGGCTCCGAATCTTTCACATACGACACCAAGAAGGAAGACAGTGGTGACAAGTCCGCTTTCGTGGCTACTTTTCGCAAGACCAAGGATGACCTGCGCAAGAGCCAAGAAGCGGATGTACAGGAGAAAGACCGAACGCAAGACTCCTATAGCCACCTTCTTTCACGCGACCCGGCTTTCATGAACAGGACAGAGTTGCTAGACAATCTCTCAGACGGCATCAACAACGAACAAGTCAGTACTTTTGTTGACATTGACGGACAACAGCGCAATATCCGATGGGTAGAAAGTCAACTAGACGATTTAGACATTGAGATCGCGCTTCAACATTTCCAGGAGGCAGTCCTGAAAGTGGATCGGCTCAAGGCACTTGCAAAGAACATTAGAAGCAATGAGATGGCCAAGACAATCGTCACCTATAAGGTCAATGAGCGCGCTGCGAAGCTCGCGAATGTTTTGGTCAAGCACATGGTAGAGCACAACAACTGGTTCACCTCTGTCAGGCAACACGTGAGTTGGGTAGTCCAACTAGGCTTCGAAGACCGCGCACGAGAAGCCTATCTGGAAGCGCGCGGTAACCTGATCAGAACTCGCACGCGGTATGTCTCCACTCCACCAAAGTCCAAATCATCCACTGACCCTTTCAGGCAATGCATATTCGAAGGCAATCTCCCAGACTATATCTTCCAGATCTCCTACATCTATTTCACCATCATCAAGAACACCGTCGACATGTATCAGAAGTGCTTCCCACAACAGCTCATGTCCGCGTGCGTCAAGTGGTCAAAAGAGCACATCGACCAATTCAACATACTATTAAAAAGGCAGCTAAGTAGCGTGGATGAAGGCGGCAATGTGTGGAACGAGTGCTTGAGATTGGCACATGAACATGCTGAGATGCTGAGGGAGGTTGGACTGGATTTCACTGAGTTGGTTGGGAATGGAATCAGTGAACAGGACGGCGAAGAAGACGAGCCTGTAGGTTTAGGAGTGTCTTAAGCATTGGGGTTGCGTTCAACAATGGAACACCACGCCTCGCAAACAGCAAACATTTTCAACATGACCGTTGGCGTTTAGCGTCCATCGTCGCAGCAGCATGTGCTTTTCTTTGTCAACCCCCGCCGCTACTACCCCATCCATAGCTGCCTACCACTCTCACCAAGACCCTCTCAGACTTCTCATCACTACTAATCTCTCTATGCTGGCTTGAAAACAGCGCTAAGTGTGTTAGCGTGTCGCTTGTTGTCGTTGCCTTGTGAGATCTCGCCTTCACCAAGGGAATGGGGTCTATAGCTGACTACAATTGTTAGTTACCTCTCTCACTCCTACATTTAACAATCTCGCTTGAAACCAGGACAACGACGCTCCAACTCGTACCAAATCTGCCAACAATTTTCCCGGATCAAGATTCCGTTCGACTACCACCTCCAAGATGCCTACGGAAGCAGAGAACATCAATTATCTATACTTGGTCCTAACCAACGATGGCAGTCCTGTCGTAAGTCTCGTCGTCTCCCTTTTTGGTTCGCATCTTCATACAAATCCCGTATACTGACTCATTGTAGATTGATTGGGATGCTGTGTCCGCCGCGCTCGACCTCAACAAGAGCGCAGCGACAAAGCGATGGTCGCGTCTCAAGCAGTCCATGGATAGGAACGAGGCTCCTGGAGGCACGACGTACCAGTTCCTCTGGCTTTGCGTTAAGCACCACAAGCGAACTCAGGTGAGCACCAATTCACGTCCAGCCACATAGTTCGAGAAACCAGCAGCCACTAACAATAGTGTCTTAGCCCCCAAACTGGAGTGAAATCGCAGCCAAGGCCAATACTACTTCTGGAGCGGCGTCCAAGCGCTATTCTCGCATGAAGAAGGTATTCGAGGATAACGAAACCGCTCCCGATGCAGGCACTCCTCGCTCGCCCGTCAAGAACACCCCCACCAAGGCCAAAGGTACTCCGAAGTCCACTGTAAAGAAGCCCCGCAAGGCCACCACTTCCTCTGGCGACGATCAGGACGACGTTCAAACTACCCCGGTCAGTAAGCGCAAGCGTGCCTCGCCGAAGAAGAAGCTCGCCGCTACCGATGAGGAAGCCGAGGTCAAGCCTGAGCCAGACAACGAGGGCGAAGATGAGGACGATGAGCTCCTAGATACCAAGCCCAAGCGCGCCAAGGTCGGCAAGAACAAGATGAAGGTCATCCCCAAGCTCAAGCCTAAGGATATCGTCAAGAAGGAAGAGACCACCGACGACGGCGAGGACTCTTTCGTCGACGCTCAGGAATCGCTTGACCACCAGGAAGATGCTCAGGATGTCCACCACGACAGCTACGCCGTTCAAGATCGTAAGTCTTCCTACCCTGCAACTCCCCAACATCTCCATCAGCATACTGAATATCTACTAGCGGAGCCAGCTGACTCTCTTGTTTGCAGCGATGACTTCATCTGAGCTGCATACGCCAGTTGATGTGAGCTGTGTCGATGGTTGCGAGCAATGTACTTGCCATGCCAACGAAATCGCTAGCGTACTTATGAGCAGGGACTCGGGAGTGGCTCAGTCACAGCGCGTAGAGCTTGAGGAGATGGTCGGTAATATGGGCTGAGGGTGCTCTTCATCTTCACGAGGAGTTTGGTGGATTTCTGCAGCATGCATTACATGGAATTTGGCGTCGGGCGGAATACGGTGCATAACGATGGCGTCAACTGAGCTTCAAGGGAAAAGGCTTTCAATCTTTGTATTCGATGTGCAGAGTGTTTGATTCCTGGAAGCGCCGAGCTGATAAAATTCTCCCACGCCCTTCATAAAGCCAGTTCGTGATACTTTCTCACGAGCCCGCCAATTACGGTGTCAACACCAGTTTTCCAGTTGTCTTCCTGCTCTCGATGTCCTGGGTCGCACGCACAATCTCGCTCAACGGATACACGTCGTGAATCTTGACATTTAGTCCGTCCTTCTCGATGAAGTTCCACAGTTCCTTTGCCGCCGTCTGCAGTTCTTCGCGAGTGGCGATGTAGTTAAATAGCGTAGGGCGGACAAGCTTCACGTTCTTTGCTGACAAGCGACTAGACGATGTGTCAGCTACTTTTCCTCATGAATAGTACAAGAAAGACTCACGCAAGAGCGAAACCCTCAACTGGTCCCGATGCGTTTCCAAACGAGCACATCGTACCCTTCCTCCTTACGACAGACAACGAGCTGTCAAAGGTGGACTTGCCCACAGAGTCGAAGACTGCATGCACACCCTCGCCCCCAGTAGTCTCTAGGACTTTCTTCACGAAAACGTCTCGGTTGTCCTCGTGGTATTCCAGTAGCACCTCTGCGCCGTTCTGCTTTGCCAGATTCCTCTTCTCTTCTGTGCTAGCTGTAGCGATGACTCTTGCGCCGACAGCCTTCAGCAACTGGCACAGCCATAAACCTACGCCACCAGCTGCAGCGGTAACGAGAATCCAGTCGCCTTCCTTAACTTCGTAAGCATCACGGATCAAGGTCACGGCGGTTAGTGCCTGGAGGAGCGAGGCAGCGGCTGTCTTGGTGGAGATGGAATCAGGGAGCGGAATTGTGTAGTTCGCTGGTGCAGCAGTATACTCTGCGTACGCGGATTGCGCCATGTAGGCTACGCGCGCACCCGGTTTGAGATCAGAAGGTGCGTTGGGTCCGACGGAAGCGACGGTTCCAGCGCCTTCCCGACCGAGAACATACGGGAACTGCGGTGGCTTGTATACACCAGAGCGGAAGTAGCTGGCCACAGATTAGCATGAAATCTTGGTTTCTGAGCAGGTGGATAGGGGTGCTCACGTGTCGATGTAGTTGATGCCGATGAACTCGTTCTTGACCAGGACCTCGCCTTCCTTGGGCTCTGGAACCGGTACATCAGTCTTGTACTGCAGGACTTCCGTTCCACCGGTCTTCTCGATGTACACGGCCTTCATAGTCTTTGGGAGTGAAGACATGGTTCTGATGATGGATGCTCTTGGAGCAATGTGCGAATTGATGGCTGCAAGTCGTGTTGTCGATCTGGAGAGTAGATTCGTCGAGCGCAGAGTGTGTGATGCCAGCGTCATGAATCACAAAAGATGGGCTGGTGGTCGGCTCAATATAAGCAAGCTATCTCAAGAGAGGCATACCCGTTGATGATAAATACTCTCGGACACGGCGTTAATTCCGAGTGATCTGCGAGGTGACACCCCCGCTCCCCGCACACGTCATTATCGTCTCAGTTCGCGACTTCCATTTCGACGCGGCAGACGCAGTCGCCTTCCATTTCTGATGAATTACTGCATCGGCCTCTATGAAGATGTACTTCGTAGGGCGCGCCAGCATTGTGTCAACCCGATAGGGCGTGTTCATTACAAAGCGACGTGTTCATAGATGCTACAAGTTAGCCAGGCGGGCATCGCCCGCCGTTAATCGGCCTGCTGGGCTGCGCGCCATCTCTCAAGCATCTATGGTGTTCTATCTCTTTCCTCACTTTGATCATATGCATATTTGTGCACCTTGCATCCTCCCCACTAGGTACGCGCAGGTAGAGAATACACCACTTGAATTAGGATAGGCTCCTGGCAGAGCGAAGCATAGCCTGATTAGTATCGCGTCTGTAAACTATTACCTAGGTAGACTACGATGTCAATTTTACTGGCAACAGCAGTCTCTCGCTCTCGCTCTCTCTCTCTCTCTCTCCCCTTCGGAAGCCAAAACACGCGAGTCTACTTCCCACGTCTATGACTACCTGGGGATGTCTATCTCTCTATTGATTGAGCCACCTCACTCGTAGTCCACTCTTCAGGTCAAAATGGCAGAGAACTACGCACGAACATGTGAGATCAGCAACAGAATCTAGGCATACCGTAAGCTCGCTACTGTCCCGACTTCCATATCAATATACTACCGAAAGGACAGCCTAGAGCATTCTACGCGCCCTTCTCGATGACGACGAATCGTCCCACGGAGGCGCCGACGTAGTCTCAGACGGCTCGGAACTGGCAGACGAAACAGGAGCCGGGAGGTTCTCGGGCTGCTCCGTAGGAGCGGCGGCAATATCCTTACTGGAAGTTACCGCATACCTGACCTCGGCCCCCGTATGGAACTCCAATATGCCTGGCATTATCGGCATTCAAGTGCTTTCACTGATATTCAACTAGTATGACCTAGCAGTGGCTGAGCGTGGCAGTACATCGGAGGCTGTTATCAAGATGCCCTCCCATTAGAGCTCAGTGAAGACGTAGAAAGAAGACGGAAATCACGAATTGTGCATATACGGCATGGAGATTTGGACTAGTTGCTCTACACGCCCCTTCCTAAAGCAGCATTGCGCTCGCGCGGAATGTTTGAAAAGCGGTGACCGAGCGCGCAGTGCAAACGGCCACACATTCTACTAGTCTCGCACAGTCTCCTCGCCCTTGACACTAGATTGAACGATATTCATCGCCGTCCAGCATCGCCTTCTTACACCGAATACCCGACGTTCGCTACCCGGTGCTATCATGCTGGTTCCTGAAACGCCTCAGTGTCAGCTCAAGGATGCTCTGGCGGTTTGTGAATGGGCGAGGACCATCTGCCCTGTCGAATTCGAGACACTGCCTGACCCGGACGATCTTGAGACCTATTTTCTGGATATTGCTGAGACATCCACAATCTTAAAAGCCATCGCATTCACGAGCTTCGACCCATCTTGCACGGCCGCCGAGCGGCTCTGTCCTGGCACTGGAGAGATCACTGTGCTTGCATTCATTCAAGAGTCTTCGCTGATGGCCTGTCCGATCCGTGGTGAGCAAATTGGCGGCAAGTTCGACTTGCTCAAATGGCTCAAAGATTATGGGCCGACGTTCTTGGACGCGTTCGCTTCGTGTTCGCTGGGTAACCGTCAATGCCCCACCCCTGTCGAGATCGCGCTTGAGATAGAGGCGACCATCAGATACTACCTTGCGGCGAAAGGGGTGGTAAAGGCTCTAGAATGTGATGATCAGATGTTCAAATGGAACTTCGCACGCGCATGTCATCGCCAACATCAGAAGATGTTGGAGGAGCGTAAGTCAGAAATGAACTTTTCTTCTTCCCGATGGCACAACCATTGACCATAAATAGGCAATACCCCAGAAGAAGCTTCAGGCTCCGTCGAACAACGTATCAATGGACTTCATGAGTCATCGGAAATGTCCCAATATTTCAACGGCGCTCACGAGCGATCCGGCGAGGAAGCAAACGCAAACGACAACAACACAACAAGCCGTGCCTTGAACGAGAACCAGCAGCGCAGCGCCCTCAACGATGATACCAACATCACCAATCTACAACGCGAGATCAAGAAGTTGCGTGTAAGACAAAAGAAGACAATGCGTCTTGAGGACAAATTCGCTACCCTAGAGGTACGCTTGACTGCTTCAGAGAACAGAGAGAAGGCCATGAGTGACCGGCTTGATGCCATTACTCAGGAGCGGGATGACATGGAACAGCGGCACCAGACTCTTTGGAATGAATGTTTCTTCTTCAAGGCAGTCCAGGTAGATCGCACCAACACGGCTCTCGAAGCAGTGTTAGTTCTCTTCAACGACCTTACTCTACTCGAAGGTGGGGTTGAAAGGCTGACAACTGAGCACGAAGAGCTAAAGAAAGAGAACAGCGGCCTGGGAGGCAAGTGGCAGACCATGATCGAGTTTGCTATGAAGTCAAAAAAACGCCGCAGTTCTGCATAGGGTCGCGAATGAGTCAGCTATGGCTCACATCAAAAAGCTAGAGGAGAAGGTCGAAGAGCTGGAGACACAGATGAGAAAGCAAGAGACCTTGGTCAAGCAAGAAGAGTTCGAGAAACGCCGCAGCGCTATAGACTCGGCTCGTTGAGCCTGGCGATTGCCATATGCCACAACTTTGTGTTTTGAGGGTAGTACAGAAAGTTGGCGTAATGCCTGCAGCAGATGCCGTCTTCGTCTGTACAAATCAAGCGTTCTGGCTTATCCAAAGTTTGGAAGGTGCCATCGCAATGTGGAAAGTGCGATAAGAAAGGGATATTATCGGAATGGCAAGGAATGAATGCGCGGAATATAGGAGAAATCGTTGTTGGATCGCACAGTAGGCAATCATCTTGCCCAAGAACTAAAGCTCGGTGGTTCTAAAGACCACACTTACGGATAGGGCTGCAAAACACGCCCATGTTTCCACAACAAGTAAATCAAAATTCTGTCACAATCCCCAGATCTGATGCTAGAGTGAGGTGTCCACTCTCACTTTTCGCGTAGCTGTATGAAGTGGGGTCGTCCACTACTTCCCTCTCATCGCTCCTCCCTCAATCGCTTTCATCGGTGCGCCTCGGTGAGGCCACTAACCTCTTTCGGCATCTTCAGTTGTCATATCACGATGAAGATGAGCCCACTTTAGGCGCAAATTTCTACAGCTTCGTTTCGCCCTGTAAGAACTATCGTAGGAACACGCCCACTCGTTCAAATTGCACATAGCCACACCATGGCACCCACCGGACTCACCCTCGAGAACGTACAGGCATGGGCAATCCGAGACTTCCGCGACCAGTTCAAGCACCTACCTGACGCGGGAGCATTCCATGTACAGTTCAACATCGTCCGCGGGTACAACCACGACAACAGCTTCAAGAGCCTCGTGATAGGCAGCACCCACACTAAGACCGGAAAGCCGGCGGACATCCTCGCGTGGCTTGCAGGCAGCCGTATACAGCTCGGATATATTGGCAAGAATCGGAAGGGAGAGCCTCAGGTCCGCTCACTAGCTTCTCCCGAGAAGGACACCTCGTCTTCGAAGTTTAAATTTCCGTTCAATTTCGTCCCTCCAAACCAAACCGAGACGGAAATTGCGTGTTTCAATGCCGTGTTACGCTACTACTTCCTTGCCAAAGGTTGGAGTAAAGGCGTGATCGACGAATCGGACGTCTTCAACAGATTCGTATCCAGGTTTCCTTACGCATGTCAGGCTATTGCAAACACGGTCGCGGACAGATCAGCATCGGTTCCGAACTCACATGGTACGCTCCATCCACAACAAGCTAGTCGTGCTCCGGTAGCTTCAGCAAATCACCAGCGTATGTCTAAGATCAGCCGTTAACGAAGTCTGAGTAACTGACACTTGAGCTTAGCGCTTTGTTCCCAGAGGACTCCCTATCTCTTTGAGCAGATCGCCGACGACCCATTTCCAGACCGATCGTACACTGTATTCAGCAGCCCGTCACCCAGTCCGCCGCCAATTGAGGATCCCAAAACGCCCCGGACACTACCCTCCCCACTTGAGCTGCGGGCCCGATCTGGACATTCACAATCAACCAGTCCTAGTGGGGACCAGATCGTGGTACTCGATGGATCCAACGATGCTGATGAGCGAGAGGGCTCCGGGCTGCGAAACAAGCTTTTCGATCTCAACATCCGGCTAATGATTGCGGAGGGTCTCGCTCGGGATGCTGAGATAGCAGCGCGGACAGCTCAGGAAGAGGCACAGCTCTGGAGGAAACGATATGAAGAAGCCGAGTCGTACAGGATCAAATATGAGGAGATCAGGAGCCACTTTGGATTGCAGGAGCAGGATGAACGCAGAGCGTGAAGGTCGAGGGTCAGAAGTGAAACTGAGAGGATAGGAGTCGTGGATGGAGATGTCGCGCAACGTGCTAGTGATGGAGCAGGTGTGAACAATGTTTCGATTGCAGCAGCGGCGGAGGGCGAATAATTGATGCGGGAGGCAGCGCTGTGCAATAATAATCAAAGGGTAAATCTGGGCGATCCGATCGCATGAGCGTAGCGTCACGGTCAGGTTTGCTTTGAGGAATACATCGCTTTCGTGCGTAAATTCTTACCGGTGCTCTTTGGTGGAGGGAAGATGAGACGTGTCCAGGGTCCATTCACATGGGCTCTTGAGAGACAAGGGCGCCCCGCTTACGTCGCAGACGCGTTCCCACGCGGACGCAACGTGAACCAAGTTCGTGCACCGCCGCTACGTCATC